AAAATTCTCTGGAATGTCATCATCTGACGAATATGCGAAAAAAATATACATCTGAAGAGCTCGTTGATTCCATGAATCCTGATTGTTGTGAACAGTGAGAGAGTTGATTCCATAAATCATTCAACTTCAAGTTGAACGACGAGTAGTATATCACAGAAACGAGTGGGTGTGCAAAACCTCATATGGCTTATAATGACCTCCTTTGGGGAATACCTTTCCACATAGTGATTCAGATCAGTCAAAAATATACTGATGTGAGGATATCGACAATTTACAAAGTTCTTGTGCGACCCATCAGAAAACTTCCTTTGTTTGGTGATTATTTGGTTTGGGAGTTATTGTGATTTTAGAATGTATTCGCCAGTCGTCATCAGCTTATTTAGATTTTTTTCACTACAATGTGCTGAACAGATAGAAACATTGCAGCAAAGTCGTTCATTTATCATTTTCTCCAACCTATCTATCAGTTTGGTCTCACTCACAATCAGAAAAACACTTCTTCGTTTTGATAAATTCGTTTCGTTTTTGGCATTCCTCAGTGATAAATTATCAAATATCACGCATATAAAAATGCAAATGTGTAAAATTTATTAACATATGAATTTTTCATGTTCACATTTCAAATAATTGACGCCAAATTTTGGTGATTATCTTCGAATGATGAAGTCAGCGATGCTAATATAATGACTTTTCAGATGGGTGTCTTCTGTTTCGAACATTCTTGAAAGGTGAATTCAGCGATGAGAATGTGGACTTTTGGTTGGAATGTGAAGAGTTTAAGAAAATGAAAGAAGGCAAAAAGACCACTGTGCAACGAGCACACGCCATTTTCAATGAATACATCGTCGAGCAATCTCCTAAAGAGGTACAATTTTTAACGAATTCTAATTTAGAAGTTTTGGAATTTAGGTGTTTTGTTTAATATCATCCACAACACGTTTACATCCCACCGATATCATGTTATAATTCTATCACAGTTGTTGGAATTAATGCAAGAGGAGAATGTTTTTATGCCCAAACTAAAAGACGTTTCAGTCTCCTTTATCGATCCCTCTTCCGCATCCACTCGATCCTTTCGTTCAGCTGTTAGGTGGATGCAATGTCGAGATATCCAAATCACAGTAAACAATGATAAAAGTCAACGAGAGCAGAAAATCACTAACAAAATGCGAATGATTTCCTGAAAATAGCATGGAATGTGTTGAAATTTGACACCAAACATCTTATCGTTACGCGTATCGTGACTTCAGGTGAATCTCGACAGTGACACACGTGCTGCAACGAAAGCTGCA